CAGGTGGCCCAAAGCAACACTAACCCATAGGTGTGCTATGATTCTCACATCTCTCCCAAACTATGCAGGTTCAGGCTAGTGTTCCCTCTAAGATTTTCCAGCCAAGAGCAGAGTGAGTTTTGGCTTGTGCACCAACATTGAGGTCATGTGCGCTGGTTTGGGTGTGTGCCACCATGACACCTAATTTATTAACATACATGTTCCCAGCCATCAGAGCAAACCCCACCCACACTCACTCCTCAGCCATGAGGCATGTCCAGTTCCCAGTTGCTGGAGAAGACACCCCCCGTACATGTGGCAGATCCCATTCCTGGCCCCAGCCACCAGAACAAGCTCCACACCCCTCCCCCACATGTGGCAGCCTTGACTACCAGAACAGGCCTCCCTCCGCCATGCGGCCATGGCAGGTTCCAGCTCCCTGCCCCAGTGGCTCCTTCACCATGCTATCTCAGCTGGCCCTGCCCGCCAAAACAGTTGCCTACTGTGTGAGTGCTGCTGCACAGCTCTCCAGAGGAGGTGGGTGGGGGAAGAACTTTTTGTGCGGGTTTGCGTAGGCACGCACCTTAGAGGGAACATTGGTTCCGACCTATTCAGCAAAAAGACAACAGACCTTCCAGGAATATATACATGCTGCAGGAAGTGGTGTGAATAATTTAGAACATAAATCAGTGGTTGTGCTTCTCATTCTGTACTGAAATAGGGTCCTATCATGTGATTGAGGGGTAATGTACTTTTGAAGGTGATGCCTCATGGATGCAACAGAAAAGCAAGGTTCCCATATCACTATTTGAGAAAGTAAAGGTGCTAAACCAGGTACCCTAAACAAATTCTAACTCAGGCAATTACATTCATCTGACTGAAATTACCCTTGCAATTTCATTTATTTTAAGGTGGGCTTAACTTTTCATCTAAACTATTTGTAATTTTGCTGTTAACCAACTATTGTTCACCTCAGAGAGAGCCGCATTTTCATGGTGGATTAGATTATATTTGTAGACTGTGTATAAGGAAAATTCTTGAGATCCTTTGGGATGCAATGCATGATATTATCACATATTTTAAATAACACTTCAAAAGTATTATGGTATTACAGTAATATATATATTAGTTCTTACTCCAAGTGAATGCTGAAGCACTTGCATTATTCAGAACGCAGTTAAGTATTATAATATCAAATAATCTGTATCAATTTGTCCAAATGGGCTTAAATGAAATGAATAATTCTATGTTGTTCATTTAAGCCAAGATACAGACAAATAGAAGATTGTGTCTAATTCCTGTCTACAGTTTCAGTGATTTGAACTTTGTCTTCTTTTATTTTCTTCTTGGTCAGGATTCAGTTATTCCCCACAGCTTTGTTTTCTAGGTAAGAGGGCAGTTTCTTCAGTAGGGAAGATGATAGTTGGTGTGACCCACACAAATATTGTGCTATAAATTAATGAATCAGTGACTATTCAATAACTCGATTTACTATAGAAAATGTATTTCTTTTTTTAATTGCTGTAGAAAAATATTCACCGGTTTTAAAAATATTATCTGATTTCTTGTGGTTATTCCATGTTAATTCACAGATACATCCAACCACCTGCAGGAGTATTACTAGTAAAGCTCAATCTGGTTTAAATGAACCACCCATTTGCCAGGGGTTTATTTCATTTAAACTGAATTAACCAGAACTCACTTTTCTGACAGCATTTGGCTTCTAGGCCAGCTGTCTATGTTGCATCAGCGCTGAATGCACAACACAAATTTCCTTGTCAGTTTAAATAAACCCTATATGCTTTTTTAGAAGTGTAAATAGTGTACTTACTCCCAAAGAAAATGACAAGGGCCTCAGCCATTTAAAAGAAGATTGGACAAGGCACTAGAAAATGTACAGTAGAGAATAAAGTGGGATTAGCAGAATAAATTTGTGTTTGTGTGTGTGGGGAGAGGGGAGTGGTATCTATTACGTCCTTTCCATCTCTAACTTCTGTAAGATGATTTTGGAATGCTTTGTTCCAGGCTTTTCCCAACACCTTATTATGATCAATCAACTATTTTTTCTTCTTGCTTAGTGTGTTCCCACAGGGTAGGCACAGCAATCTATTTGTATCTGTTTCAAAAACTTTTCATGCAATTAGATGGGATTTTCTATAAAGTAATGAGCTAT